GACACAAAATTATCTGTAATAAGAGCAATATTGTTTATGGACGAAATTTATAAAACAAAAAAAATGTTATAAAATTTGCTTAACCACAAAAAAGTTTAATATTTTTTTGTTTTTTCAACTGAAGGTGTTGTCAGTGCAAATTCTCAATTTTATAAGCAATACAAAACTAAAAAATGCCTTTACAACTTAATTTATTGCTACTGTTTTCTTGTATCTTGTAGACTGGCGTTCATGCGACTTAAACCGCAAAAAAAAAAACTAAACAGCTTTTTCGACAAACAAAAAACTTAAAAAAAAATAAAAAAGATATAAATAAAAGATCTTTGCATTATTTTTGCTTCAATAAAACAAAATATTAACAAATACAAGAGAAGTAAAGCCAACCACATGCAGCAACAAAATTGTTATTTTTGTTTCAGTTTTTGTTGTCTTATGATTTTGTAGTAGCTGGTATCGGCCCCACTTGCTCCATGGGTGGCCTTAACTGTCGCCAGTACTCACTGAATCACTGAATCACTAACTGACTGACTGACTGACGGACTAAGTTCGTGGCTGCGGTTATTGCGGTCGGTCCGGCAGCTGCCACCGCTACTATGCCGTTTGCTGCTTAAATACATTTCAGCATAATAAAAGGAAACAACATTCGTATGTAGTATGTTATTATTTTTTTTTTTTTCATTATTATTATTTGCTTTGTTAAGGTTTGTCTGTTGCCAAAAGAGAATTTTTAGCTTCGTTGATAATTTACTTTCTCGCCAAGTTAATTCTTATTAATGTAGCGAAGACGATATGCGTACGTGATTAAAAAATTCTACGCTGAAACACTTTTGTATTTCATGCCGTGAGCAAATAAACGTAAACCTGCTATTTAAACATTCAATATTTTCAATTTTGGAAGCTGATCTCACATGTAATATATTCTTTTTATCTCTTAATGCATATTCAATGCAAAAATAATAAAAACATACATATATAAATAAAAATATATCTTAGTATAGTTTAGAAATGAAAATTAATTTTGTATGTATACACAACTAGATTGCAAAGATTATGTATTAATCAAATTTGTAATTTTTGCGATATATATAACACAATGAGCTGATTAATAGGTCTAAATGGGTCTTTAGGTTTGCACGTATAACGTATCATGCATATACTCGTATACATATATATGCTTGCTACCACACAGACATACTAACATTGAAGGGAATGTTACATCCCCTAGATGTATCCCATGTTCCCGTGGAGACCGTTAAGAGAAGTATTTACTTTCTGCAGCTTGATAATAATAAGTGGAAGACACGTAGATCAAGTAGAATTTCCCGGTTAACATGGACTTCATATAACATAACAAGGCCACATTTTGGGAATTCATTAAAAGGGACCGTGTGAATATCGTGGTTACTACCGTAAAGGAGCCCACGCAGAGAATCTGTTCATTCCTTTTAAATTGTCATTGTAGAAGTTTCAGTAACTTACAGGAAAAAGAAAAAATTAAGCATTTTCTTAGTACATACCCGGCTCTGGACTCCAAAAGAAATAGGTTTTCAGTGAAGTACTTTTTAGGCAGTTTAATTAAATTCGATGCGATGGAAGAAGTAAAAGAAAAAGAAGAAGTATAATAAAAAAGAAAAGAAGAAACAGAAAAACAAAATAAGAAAAAGAAGTAAAAGAAAAGAAATAGTAAAAAAAAAAGAAATAGTAAAAGAAAAGAAAATGTAAAAGAAATAGAAAAGAAGAAAAAGTAAAAAAAAAAGAAGAGAAGAACAGTAAAAGAAAAGAACAAAAGGTAAAAGTTAAAGAAAGAAAGAAAAAGTAAAAGGAAGAAAGAAAAAATCAGAAACAAAAAATAAAAAAAAAAAAATATAAGAAAAGAAAAAAAGAATACGAAAAAAAATTAATAAAATTAAGCTTGATTGATTTTTTGATTAAAGTTGAAATATTTAAAATAAAATGAAAACTATTGTAAAATAATTTAAGATATTTTTGTTAATTTCTATTTGAAAATATTGAATCAATTAGACCAATATAACACAATAGTATTAATTTTGGTAATGAAATAATAAATATTTAAACGAACAGAAAATATGACGGTCAATCATATTGAAAAAAAAATTTTGAACAAATTGTTTTTAGTTTTTCTTTTTCTTTTTTATTTCACTGTGCACTAAGTAAGTGTAAATAGTTAAAATTATTTTCGCAAAATTTGCTGACGTACGTTCAATAAATGCCAAGTGTAACTAAAGTATAAGATGTGCTTTTTTTAAGCTTTTGATCATGATTAGATGCATATTATTTGCTTAGATTTTAATTTGTTTATAACTAAGAGAAAATTTAAATATTTTTTTAAATTGCTGTACTGCGCTTTCTATTTGAGAGATGAAGAAAAATATTTTAATGTATGGCATTATAAATAAAATTTAAATACATCCATATATACGTGCTGATTAATGAAAATGAAATAACTTTTTATATGCCGATAAATTCAATAAATGAAATTAAGTATTAATAGAAAAGTGTTTGCACAGTAGTGAATTTTAAATTTTAAAGTTTTTATTTTAAAGTTTTTATTTTAAATTAATTGAATTTTTGGATGACCATATAGTTGCTTCGAGTATTGCCGAATACCCATCATCAGTGGTTTTTTTTCGGAAATATTTCTTATATTTTATGTTTTGTAAACAAATTTTTTGACGCTACGAATATGACAGGTTCAACTTGTAAATTAAATTATTAAGTATATTTAATTACTTTGTTTTTATTATACTTTTACTATTATTACTTTTATTTTTTATAAATTAACTATACATTGCAATTGCAATATTATAATTATATATAATTTAAATTAAATTATTTACTATATTTAATTACTGTTTTTTTTAAATATCTTTTTAAATATATAATTACTTAAATTATTTATTCAAATAAATAACTAAACTATTATTTAGTTATTTTAATATAAATTTTTATATAATATAATTTAAATTAAATATTTTACTATATTTATTTACTTTCTTATAATTTTTTGAATTCTAATTTTATCCTTTAAATGACTTATAGACTATAGTCAAAATAAAATATAATTTTTAAAAATTATTTTAAAAGTATATCCCGTTTCAAAAATATAAAAATAATAGTTTCAATATTAAACTAAGCTTTAAAAGTTCATTCATATATCACAAAAAAACATTCAAAATAAAACCAATATTATCAATTTTTTGGTATTATTAATGTTATTTTATTAAATTTAATTTAAAAAAGCTTTCATTAAATATCAACCGTATAGATTAAATTTTACAATTGATGCTGATTGAGAAAATAAAAAGAGGTTCAATAATAATAAAAACAACAACAATAATATTAAAGAAAAACCTACGACCGGCCAGTCAGTCAGTTAGCCAAAGTATAAGAAAAATTTATTGTAAATATTGTATGTTGGGCAGCACGCTAACGGTTGCATACATATAACTTTTAGTATTACACTTATATGTATTTTGAATGTGTAAGTAAATGTGGTTCAGAGTTGAAACTGGTTAACTAAGAGAATAATTCGTTGTTGTTGTTATTATTGTTATTGTCGTTGGTTAGCTGATATATTGCGAGATCAAAACTGTTGCCTTTTCTGTTTGTTGCTTTTAAGCAACAACTTTTTTTATTATTATTATTATTACTTTTTATTGTGTGCTGTTGCCATTGTGATCATGATATCGAAAGCTGTCTTTACCACCAACGATTTATTTTAATGACTCAATTTAAGAAAATATATTAAGACATTAAAATTGTCTATCAGTTTCTGTTTATGTTTTTGTCTTATTTCTTTGCTATTATTTTTTTTTTTGTTATTTTGCATTAATTTTTTTACTTTTAATTTTGATTTGGATTCTGTTAACGTTTTCTACTGAGAATGTGTTCGTTCGTTGCTATGAAATGACACATTTTATGCCATATGCACATGTATTTTACGTTTTTATACGTTTGTAGCAAGAATGCGCGGCTTGAAATATTAATTTCGTGTGATTGTGGTTATTGTTGTTGTTATTGCGTTTGCGTATCTTTACTTTGTGAATGTGATTTTTTTTTGCTTTTTTTTTTAATTTAAATGTTTTAATATTTATCTGTTCGGTTAGTGACGTTTAACTTTAAGTTATTCATGAATGAATGAATCGAAAATGAAATTTATATTTGTGGTCATTGCGTTTGTATGTTTTTGTTACAATAAATGCATATATTTATACAATATATTTAGTTAAAAAAAATATGTTCATTTTGTTTTTTGCTAAAAATAAATCAGTATTTAACTGTTGCCAAAACAGAGGATATAGCGATCTCGCATAAAATAGGGTAAATGCTGGCATATGTAGAAAGAATTGACAATATAAACTGATAAGGAAAAACAAAAAGCAAATAAAAATAGTGCAGGTTGCAGGAAAAAGAAAACAGGCGTCCTAATTTTTGACGGTTAACATATTGTCCCACTGATTACTTTTTTAAAAAATTTGTCTCGGCTTCTAAATTTATGGCTTTTGTTTTATATAGTTGTGACTTTTAGTAGTAAGAGATATATCGTTTAAAAAACTATAGAACAAAATTTATAATTTGAATTTATATTCTAAAATATATATTTTACAATTTTCCATTAAAATTTTTATATTGAAATAATTTATTTATAAATTAAATTTTAGAATAATTTTAAAAATCGGTTTATTCACGTTAAAATATATGTCTGATTGTGGTAAAATTCAGTCATTTAATTAAATTACCATGGTAAACACGGTCGTCACAACCTAAGTGAACCTAAGTGATCTTGCTATATATTTTTTAATTTTTTTATAACTATAACAAAATAATACAGCTATAAAACTTTAACTGCTAAACGCTTATACCTTGACTTTAAGAACAAATAACATTAGTAATAACAAAAAGTTTGAAATATATTTTTATATTAATATATACATATATAATTTAAAAAATGCGTAAAATTAAGTAATTTCTAAATTTACCTTATCAATTTGATCCAATGCAACATGTGCGTCCACCCAACTTGTTCGTATGTAAAGATCTGAAAATAATTTTTCATCGACAACATCCCCATGTGTGTCGGGTACTCGCGGTAAACTATCCATTGTAGGTACAACCATTTTAATTTTTATAATATTATTTTTTTATATAATATATATACACATATATATATTATCGTTTTTATCCAATAAAAATTGTGCAAACTTAAAAATTATATGTATGCACCCTAAATAAATAAAATGATAAACGCTGAGCGAAAACAGTGCTGCCAAACTCGTTGTTGTGTTTATTAATTATAACAATACATTAATGTTTACTGACATGCATTTTTTGGAAATAAATTTAAGTATAATTGCATTTTTAATATAAATTTTTTTTATATTATATTAATACTGTTAGCAATTGTTTTGTTTCAATTTTATTAAATAAATATGTTAAATTATTTTTTAATACACTAATTTATGTTGTTTTGCTTTAAAATTTTGATTTTAACCAGTATGAAGAGTGCATCACGTTTATCAATTAACTTTATTTACACTAATTTAATAATAACTTTATTATGTTTGTTACAAAGCCTGTTTATAATTTTCGATATATGTTTTGTCACGTTTTGGTTTATTTTTCTAAAGAATTTTTTTTATATTAAAAATTCTTGTCGAGGTTTGGATGTATTTCTTAACATTTTATTTCTTTATTTTCGTAATCGCGAATTTTGTTTAGTGTTATTTAATTCAAACCTTATTTGAAACTATAAGTTTTGAAATGAATTAATAACATAATTACATTTCTTTTCACAAATACGTGTTACCGCATTGAAGATCGAAAACAATCTGTTCAAATCATCTCAAACAAAATCCAAACATGCATCTACACTTCGAGCAAGTTCACAACAAACTAATCAAATATGTTGATAAATTTTAATCGCGTTGATACACTCTCGAATGTTCGCTCTCTTTTCTGAAAGAATTACACAAAACACTAATAAATGTATACGAATTTTGTGTAATTATTCTGTTGATATACTCAACATTTGTGTTAATGTTTTGCTCACAGAGCAGATTGTTGGATTTCTGTACAAAAATTATGTCTAAGTGTTTGTGTAAGATGTTTGTAGATGCGGCCATTTTGATTTTTGCTCTCGTTCTAACAAACGTAATACACACTCATAGTCAGCTCTTTTAGTTGTGATCTCTGAGTGAAGAAGAGAATCAATTTAACTACTCTATGAAAATGTTTGTTTACGAAATGCGCTAATGAACTGTTTTTGAATGCACTAAGCAAAAAACAAAATAATTATTCTTTTAAAAAAAAAAAGAAAAACGCAAGATTTTAAGCTTTTTAATAATATTTGCAATATTCAAATAATATCACTAACAACGATATCATTATCACGATACGCATAATGATGTGCCTAATGTTAATAAGTTTTACAATAAGCCTTAAAAAAATTAAATAAAGTTTTGATAACTTAATAAATCATTATACAAATTTGGAGATTGCAATATTTATTTTATTCTTCGAAGCTTATAAAAAATTATAAAAACATTTTTAATTTATTAAGATTAGTTAGAATTAGAATACATACATATTTTTATAATAAAACTGCAAATTGAATTTCTTTAACTTTATTAAAATTTCAAATAATATATTTGTTTATTTCAAATATATTGCAACAGTATTATATAACGACTAAACAATGTACATATGTATATAAAATATGAAAAAGATTTTTTGTTTGCTGTAATAATATTTTACAAATGTCATGACATGCGACAACTCTTAACTCTTGGAGAAGACAAGCAAACAAAACTCTTGTTCATAATTCACCAGTTTGTTTTGTTATTTTTTCGCGAAACAAATTTGCCAACTACAACAATAAAACAACAACAACAATAATAACCACACCATCAATAACAACAACAGCATATATTCATAATCAATTTGCTTTTGTGTGCGACGTTGCATTAAATAAAAAAAAAAGAAAAAAACAACATGTATAGCTCGCTGCTGATAATGGCAGCAGCAAACAACTTTGGTGGCATTGGCTTTCGACCACCCACATTGCTTCCGCTTAATGGCGAAACAACCACACAACGGCAAACAAAATTTATTAAGCAACACTGGCAGCGAGCATAAAATACGCGAACCGATCGCGCCACACACAGACGCGAAATTAAAATAAAGAAATACGAGTATGAAACGATCGTCTACGAATTTATTAGCGTTATAAAAACGAGTATACACCATACTTGCATACACCATAATCGACATAATTTGCATGCACGTAGAGAAGTGTCTGTGTGTCTATGAGGATAAAGATGCAGATATGCATTCATGTTAATGAAAAAGGGTACATAATGTGCTAGTGAATATGTTCACTTTCGTAAAAATTGGTTATGAAAGATCTGTTGAAGTACGATAATGAGGATGTTAAATAAATACATATATGTATATGTATATGTCTGGTATGGCGACAAAAATATAAATCCATTTTTTTGTTGGAAAATTTCTAAATTGATATTGCATTTATATTCAATTTTTATAATTTGTGATATTGCTCTCACATATGCGATTTTTTAAAAGCAGATTTTATTCGTTTTTTTTAATACTAATAAATATATGTATATGTACATACATATGTAGAATAAAGAAAACCTTAGGGAAAAAAAATATTTCTTTTTAGCAAAATAATCGCGAAAAATAAAAATATAGTAAATGCTTAATCAATATAAGCGTTAATAAAAAACTAAGTGATGTTCACTTTATAACGGAATAAATAATAAAACATCAGAGCTGGTATAATATTTCAGATACCCATCAAAAGAAAAATCTTAGCAACAAAAATTTTTATCAATTTATTGTTAAATATATAGCCAAATTTAATAGTCACCTGAATGAATGCATCATGATTTTAAGTGCACCAGAGAAAGTGAAAATAAAAAATTTTTTTAAAAAAATAAAAAAAAATATGTTTTAATGTAATGTAATACACAAACATATTGATGATATTAGATAATATTAAACCTTTATATAGACTTTGTAGTAAGCATTTCATAACAACTTCACAGAATTGTGATGAATGAGGAAAACTGAGAAAAAATATTTTAGAAGTAAAAATATATTTCAGATTTTAGGATTTCCTTTTTTTTTATTTTAAAAAGAAACATTTAACTGCCACATTGGTATTAAGGTTAATTTAGCTGACCGTAAGCGATGCATAGACCTATTGATATCTGACAATACCAGATAAAGTTATGAACTTTGTAGTAAGCATTTACTGCGAATTTAATAAATGCTTTAAGCTCTATTCCTGAAATAGAAGCACTAAACATTTTAAAAATTGTTTAAAGTTTGTATTTACACCGGAATTTTGAGGGATTTAAGCCCAGGCCCAATGTGCCATTGTACAATTACAGATACACTATGTTATAAGGCCGGTTATACTGGCGTACCAACATTTTTTTGAAGTAAACATTGTAAAATGCTCTAAATTGTAATTAAGGGTACCGGGTACCAATAAATATTAAGTTAAAGTTTTAATCCACCGATAAGCTAAAGACGTTTTGATAATTGTTTAAAGTTCGTATTTTTACATCCACTTCTATTTGAACTTTTATAGTAAAGTTACATGAACCAAAGTTATCTTTATGTAAGATATCTGAATACTTAAAAATAGATTTATCTCCGATGGTTTTTAAATTCTGAATATCTCTTACTAGTTCGTTCCGTAGAGTGATATTTAGAATTTGATGTTAGAAACTCAGAGAGATTTATCTTTGCTTTACATTCCATGACTAATTTTAGTGTTAATTTTAGAAGCTGTTGGAATATTTTCATTGCATCTGTACTGACTAAACATATCAGTTTCTGCACTTAGTATTCACTTTCAATTCAAAATAGAACGGGTTTACTGAACTAGTATTCAGCTTCCATACAAATTATTTATAAAGCCTTCTCAGTTCATTGATCATATCTAAGTATTGATTAGGTTCAACATTGGTGTGGTTGAGTAGCTGTTTTTCATACCTAGCAGGTACTTCTTCTTTGACTCCTATAACTTTGAAGTCTTTATGTATTTCTTGGTTTGTTGCATATCGATAAGCATTTGTAATCAACCTTAAGCATTTGTTTTGACTTCGCTGTATGATGTCTCGGTTCGAGTTATATTATTGATCTACAGCCGTTTAAAAAGGAGATACCTAAGGTTTCTGTTATGTCTATACCCCGTCTTGAGAAGAATCAAGTTATTGGGCGTCCCATTTTTTAATACACTTAGCGGTATTAACAATGCGTCGGATTGGATCCAATAAGCCCATTCTTTTACACATAATTACGAGGAATAGCTTTCTTAACTAATTGAGGAGGATTCGTTCCTCCTTCTACATCACCTACTTACCTTTATAATTGGTAACTCTTGGAAGAGTTTTCATCATAAATATATGTAAATAAATTTAATAGTATAAAATGAAAACCCAAAAAAAAATATTATATATTTATTAAAGAATAACAAGAAATTCCGCCAAAATTCTTTAAAAAATACAATATAAATGAAAAATACTTAAGCCCAACTCATAAAATATGGGCCTACCACCGTGAACCTTTTTATAAAAACAACAACAATAATGACAAATTCCCATAAGATAAAAAATGAGTAGAACAGCGTGATGACGACCAGCACACGACGTTTTTCGCTGACGTTGAAAGCGCTCATTTTTTAGGCCAAGCTTAGCTTTGCCTGTATGCTTTTTTTACACTCGTTGCCGCTTGCAAGTATGGGCGGTAAAAAATGATAATATTAATTTATTATAACAAAATAATGAACATATTTACTGCATACATATAATAAGCTAGGAAAGAGCACAATATGAACTTTTTTTTTATATTAAGTTTGCTCTCTTCTCTCGCTCTCTCTTGTCTCGCTTCACATGCTTTTTTATTCAATTTGCTAATACTCAACACTCTTTCAATTTTTTACAATCAAATAATTAAGATTTGCGCTGTAATTGCGTTTATATGTATTCACGTGTAGTCTCAACAGCGGTACTTAGCAATATCTCTTATTTGGGGACCACCGACGTTGTTTGCCGTATCTGGGTGATCGTAGGCAACTTTACTTTGACTTTAGCGACGCCGTTTGTTTTTAATGGTATAATGTCTTAATTTATAGATAT